AACTATCAGTTCCACCTGAAAACACAATACACACTATTTTATATACAAAAACAATCTTATTACCTATACTAGCTTATTATCTATATTATCGCGCGACTTCGTCTGCGTGAAAAATAATTTAGCCCATATATAACGTAGCTTTTTAATGGTGAAATATTTTTTAAATCAGTCCAGTAGTTTTTGAGTTATTTCAATACATATTAAAATTCAAAATACAAATCGTTCGTATGTAGGATGTATGTATTATGTAGGATGTCAGCAATGACAGTATATTTTTGAATAATACTTATTTTAATAAAAAGTTCCTACAGGACTTACGACACGCTTTAGTGTATCTTCACACTATTAAACTGAGGGAGTAAAGAATTTGGAAAAAAACCTCATGCGAGACAGGGACAAAAACTACAAACTGATATCAAGGGAGCAAGTTTGCCATGATACCGGTAATAGTAGTCCAATGTCAAAGGCCTTTATTGTCATTTGTGCATTTTAATTAAAAATTTCACAAATTTCAAATATGAAATATAGTTTCCATAGTTTCATGCGGATGATGCCGCAAGGAAACAGCTAGTCATTGGTAAAGATGTGATAAACTCCGTCCGCGTGGAATTAAAAAAACAAAAGTGAGTAGCCTACATGTTCTTCTAGACTATCCTCTACATCATCAACTTGCCTTTATAACTTACGGAGTGTCGGCACAGTATGTGCTGCTCTTTCATACATCTCTATCAGCCGTCATATCTGAATCCAACTCGCAATCCGTAACCTTTCAATGCTATACACATACTGTAATAATGTTTTGGCTTTTAATTTTCTACAAGACGGCCGCCAGCCTGACGCCTAACCCTCCTAGGGACTACTTCAGACTACCGTCTACATCTATACCTGAAATCCGTTCAGCCGTTTTGACTGCAAACTCTAACAAACATTCATCCATCTAAACTTTCGCTTTTAATAAATTATTAAAATAATAATATTAATTATTATGATACTATGTTTATTACCTTAAAATCGGAGCTATAAAGTTTGTGTTGCTTGTCCTTGTGCGCGTCGTCCAGCTGCCACTTGTTAAGCGTCAGCTTAAACGTCTCCAAGTTCGGACCTAAATATACAACAAACTGTTTATTCACTATTTACTATTTTTTCAATATTATGAACTATCGATATTTGGTTTAAATAACATTTATCGAACTTAACTAAAATTATTATTTTCTTATAAACTAATTTAGAGGCCAATCCTAGTGTTGAGTATAGTGTAGAGAATATAGCGATGACAATAATAGCGAAATCCAAGTAATAAATTATTAACTCTCATTATTTGCATTAGTTTTGCAGATTATTATATATTTGAGAAAACAGTGTTTTTTTAATCCAAAAGTTATAACTATAATTCTATTGATTCCAACTTTTATGAGAGTAAAAATCCAAAATTGAAAAGATTCACAATTACCCCTAGATAAAGTAACATTTAATTATCGCTATCGCTGATCGAAAAATCAAAAATGCATGGAACTGACAATAACATTTGACAAGTCACGTGCTTGTCACATTCATTCCATCATGTCACATTTTGTCGATTCTACAAGCGACATCATTAATCAAAAGCCACTTTGTGTAGGGAGGCTGATTTTACACAAGCCATCCCTACAAATTGTCAAAGTAATTAATTTAATTTAGACAAACTATGGATGTATGAAGTGAAATGTGAAGTTGGGGTAGGCAGAGGTACGCACTGTCGTCGGGCGAGGGCACGCGCACGGCGCCGACGGCGGCC